TCTCTTAAAACTGTTGGTTATCTCTGCTCTCAGCAGGAAATTTGAAATGACCATGGGTACATTTTCAAAAACACAAACCTCGAGTTGAAAATAAACAATTGTAGACATAGGCAAACTTGTGTTAATCCTACTTAAAGAAAAAAAATAACAACACAGAGCTTGACACCCTTGAAGGATTTTTTTTATTATATGGCAGAGAAAACACAGCTGGCATTGTGGCAAGCCTTCAGGACATCAGACATTTGGCGGCACCGTTGAAAATGTAATTCATTAGTTGATAAGGTAATTTAGTAACTAATATTCAGGGAGTTTATAGAATATTACAGTTTTAAAAAGATGCTTTCATATGCTTTGGGTCAGAGTTCTGTGTTGAGAGTGCCTGATGTTCTTATTAAAAGAATAAGCTTTTGGCATGAGTATATAAATTGCAGGCATCTTTGCTAGAACACACACTACTGGTCTATTAATTGGCGTACTTGATGAGAAAATGTATCTTTGTTTTCTAAAATATAAAACACCACATGACAAGGCAGCACCTGCCACACCAAACCACAATGTGTCTGTATTATAAAACACCATTTGTGATACTGCTGGAAGAAACTCAAGGACCAGAAAATCAGAAGAGAAGCTCTCCATCTTAAACATTTACTTTGTGTTTTTCTGCTTGGAGCACCATTATGTCTGCAATGACACAGGAGATAAAGGTACTCACTGTTCTAGAAAACACACAGCTTCCCCTCAAATGTGGTCATGTTAATGTTTATTTTCACCAGTCATCAGCATGATAAATCTGCCTTGTCTCAGCCTGCTATCCCAATATTATAAGTAACAAGGTTTTCATAAACAGACATTCATAAAAGTCAGCAGAGCATGGCTTAGGACCTTGTATATTTACAGTGTTTTCAACGTGGGGGTTATGAATCCGAAGTGTTATGCAAAGAAAAACTGTTTTGGGATTAGGCTCTGAATCCCTCTTTCTACTCTAGCATATGATGAATGTGTGATGCTGGTCAAAAGGGAGAGTGGATGAGAGAAAATGGAAAAACAGCTCAAATCCTAGGCTTATTGATGGGGGGATTGTTACAATATTGGAAAATAAAGGGCACACCATAGAAACTACATGGCATTCAAGGATATACAAGCGTAATCACAAAAGAATGTCCCACAAGGAAGTAGATGTGTCATTACTATTAAATTAACTTTTATCCAAATGGTGTCCATTGTGAGCATTCATGAATTCACCCAATGGGATATTCTCATCTTTGTCATACCCGGGAAGATGTTCTATAGCACTCAATTCAAATGGCCCTGAAGTAATTTAGGTAGCATTCCCCCAAGTCTTTTCTTTTAATGAAAACTAAAGTCTTTGAATTTCCTATGCAGAGGCTGTTGAGTATAATGAACCATATAAAACCTCTCTTCCCCCTTACTTTGTAACAGTTAAGGCTGGATGGAATGGGGAAGAGGTTGAATGGAACAGGTAAGCAGAGGAAAAGTAGGTCAAGTTTGCTTCTCATCACCTCTTCGTTATCAATTCAGATACTCTTCCCCATCTTTCTGCTCCACAGACAGCCAGCACCATGAGCCAATGCCACCCCCTCACTGCCTCCTGCTCCCATCAGGCCAACCAAGTGGATAAACCCAGGGAAACAGAAGGAAGATCTTTTAGGACAAGCTGTGTTGACTGTTTAGAAATAGAATTGCAATGTGTAAATTGTTTCTCGAGAAATAGAGGAAGAGACAGAAACATCCATTGTTAAAGTACTGCCTTTAGACAATCATAATATCCAATATTTGATATTATTTTGTCCATTGAGCTTTCTAATACAGCTGTTACCCTGTTTGTTCTCATAGGTCTTTGGTCAAAACCCATCAAAACTATAAGGGAATCACCAGGCCTAGGCTTTTATTCCTAGCTTTACCTCAGACTTATTATGTAATATTTAACAGACTGCTAACCTTTTTACTGCTTATGTCTTTATCTTAAAGTGAAATTAACACTACCACTCTTTTACATTTCTCCTAAAGTTGTGCTAAGACTGAGTCTCTACTTTTTTAGGATATTTCATATAAACAAACTTCAGAAATATTTCTTCTAGTGTAAGAATAGAAAAAATAGTAGATAAGATCAAAATGGTACCATATTTGAATCTCCATTTACCAGTAGTCTATAGAAGTCTGAGGTAAGATGCCTAAAGTCTTCTGTCAAGCCCAAACTGAGCCAAAGAATGCTAATTTTGAGAAAAAGGAATAAGAAGTCATGGAAAGTCCAGATTTACAATGCTTAGTCTACCCAGTCAACACAGACTTCCACTGGTTAATAGGGAAGGAGAGAGTGGCCCTCATTAACTATGATAAAGACTTCCTTTTCCAAGAGTGAAGACCAAGTCCTCCCTGGGAGTGGGCAAAACTATCTCCTGAGATTCCAGGCTGGGTGTAGCATGTAGAGACTCAGTCACTCTGACCCAGTTGCTTTATTCTCTGTTTCTGTCCCCTTACAGAGCTCTCAACATGGCGGCTCCTCTACTTCACTTGCATCCACCAAAGTCTGCAGCTCGATGGATGAGAACGATGGCCCTGGGGAAGGTGATGAGCTTGGGACTTGATATCATAGGAAAAAGCCCAGCTTGTTTAGGGGGCAGAGGAGGGGTTGGCTGAATTTACTCTCCCAGCAACTCATGAAGCTCAATCACTATGGGATAGGAGTGAGCATGGCTCCCACCAGGGGTTGGGGTCCATTCAGTGAGAATGGAAAGAGTGAGTGGGCCTAATTTGGAGATGTTTCAGACACTCTGAAAGTATATGGTTCCTAGGAAAGCCAGTTTTTGCCCACTTTGTAAATAAAAGAGGGTAATTCCTGCCTTTCTGTTCCCAAACTCTGTTGACTTTTCATATGTTAAAGAGGATTGAGTTTCTTGACTTTTACAGCTCCCCAGATGACTTAAGTTAAAACTTTAGTGAACAAGATATGAAAATATAGCTTGACAAGAAGAATTAATTGGTGGTAGTTGCAAAAGATATTCTTTGCCCTGTAAGCTAATTCACTTTAAAATTTCTCTGTGATGTGATCAAATGACCTGAATTCCAGGGATGACTTTTTCAGTAACACACTGGATGGTTTTGGGCAAGTCTCTTCAATTTAGGACATCTTAATTCCTCTTCTATTAAATGGGAATTGTCAAACATAACAGTTTCCTCCCTGGGGTTGTTACCATTCTCAGATCAATTAGGGAAAACTATTTGGAAAAATATAAAAGGGTTATGATAAAGCCACTGTTAAAGAATCAGGGGCTAAGGATGTAGCTCAGTGGTAGAGTGCTTGCCTAGCAAGCCCTGGTTTTGATCCCCAGCCCCACAAATATACACAGACACACACACATACACATATATGTGTATATGTATGTATGTATATATACATGTATATATATATATATGTGTGTATATACATATATATGTATATATATATATATACATATATATATATATACACTTCTTTCTTTAAATTATATGACTTAAGAGGGCTGGGGTCATGGCTCACGTGATAGAGCACCTGCCTACCAAGCGCAAGACCCTGAGTTCAAACCCCAGTGCTCAAATAAATAAATAAATGATATGACTTGATATTGCCCCTCAAAGCACCTTTAAAGAGAAGCATTTTTATTATGTTAAGTAAAATGTGTAATCTACATAGGAATCATTTCCTCAGTACCATGCAATATCAAACTTTTTTACATTTCCAAAAGTTTTTCAGTCAGCCATCTAGAAGCCTCTTTTGTCCGATGTATTATATCCACCTAATGAAATGAAATGGTCCTTAACTAAGCCTTTGGCTGAGCCTTCACAGCCGGAAGTCTAAAAAGGCCAATAGTCAGGAAAAAAGAATTCCAAGTACAGTGCTTTGGATGTGTTCAGTGACTGTTCCTGCTGCAACGGAGAACAGACTGCCTCTTTCCATTTCCCAAATACTCCCGACAGCCAAGGGGATTACTTCTATTACCCCTGTACTAAAGAGCCTTAAGATTGTGTCAACTGGGAGATGCTTTATAAATTCAGATGCTTTGCACTGGATTTTCTAACCATCTCCTCTCCTTCCCATGGAGGACAAAATTCCCCAGGCTATCCTTCAAACGAGGCAAAATCATGTCCTAGGTGGAATAAGGAAGGGGACATTGGCTCCAGCCCTCACTTTATTCTGGGCACCATCTAGATAGCTTCTATTAAAATGACACTATAAAAAGGGAAAGAGGCTGCTCAAGCACCCAAGGCAATAGCAGCAGCAGCAGCAGCAAATGTCCTACATTTAGGCCACACTTTCCAGAAATTCCATCCACTCTAGAACCCAGAGTGGTACAGACTGAACATTGTCATGAAGCTAGCATGAAGTCCTAAAGTGGGTATCTGATGATTGTGGGTGTTTGTCAGTCCCCGTAACACAGACTAAACATGAATATACAAAAACCACCAGAAAGCCCACTCACCACCTTAAGGTTCTCATTTCATTTTTGAGAAGAAATATTCAGCCTCAGTTTATGATGAAAGGTCAGAAGAGGAGTGCATTTAGAAAACCCGGGAGGCTCCCTTCCATCACATTTTGAATTCAGGTTGCCTGGGGCATAGGGAGGATTTATAACTTTAATGCATGTAAATTTTAGAGCCCAGCTATAAAAGGCTTTTTACACGCCTAACATGTTAAAGGTTATCCAGCATATTTATGTGACCTAAGCATGGCTTATTTAGTTTTATGGCCTGGATATTTAAAGCATTATTAGGCATTTGTAAAATATTCCAAAATGCATTTTCAGGGGGAAAATGTGTTGCGTTAGTGGCACTAACATAATTGAAAGTACAAAACTGTTCACAGACATAATAGATACTGCAGTTATAACTGAACATCTGCCATGCAGGTTGCTGGTGAGAACATTTGTCTAAAATCTGCTCATTGATACTGGGAAGGGCTGGTAATCGATGCTTAGTTCATAAGGAATTTTACGGAGATCTCCATTTCAGGATGTAGTAAAGCTAAGTGTCCAAACAGCAGGCGTTTTTCATGCTTATACAATGTCAGCTAGCCCAGAGTCCCTTAAAAAGTGCATTTTCCTCCTGCACCATACACAGGAATTTCATTTCTTCATGCACAGTGGGTATGCAGTAAATGCTATTGATCAAATTCGCATGAAGGAAAAAAAGTGAAGCTTCCTCCTCAGAATCCCCACTGCAACAAAAAACGAAGTTACAGTTATACAGTGCAGGTGAACCCCATCCATTTCCTTTTCATTTACCATTTGTCTCAGTAAAGACTGTGAAGTATGTACAAGGTCTGTGAGGGAGGGGGCCGTTACCTCACGCATGGAAAATGACGTTAATTCTGTATCAGTTCCTGACTGTTAGATGATGGTTCTAAATGTCTCTATGCAACATCTGTGTACCCTTTCTACCGATAAAATCATACTAATGATTCTTTCAGAAGTGTCCGAGGAAGGCTTCCAGATTCCAGCCACAATAACAGAACGATATAAAGTCGGCAGGACAATAGGAGATGGAAATTTTGCTGTTGTGAAGGAATGTGTGGAGAGGTGAGAAGGACATCATTTGCACAGAATTTAAAAGAAACATTTGACATTGTGTTTTCCAAGATAGTGTCTCTATTTATAGTCTGTGGTACATATTTGCAGTCTGTGGCACCTAAGATGGTGTCTCTATTTGTAATCTGTGACACATATGGAATAAGTTAATGGTTCAACCCCAAGCAAAAAAAAATTGTTTTTCTAAAGAAATGCTATCTAACAATAGGCCAGAAAAATGTAGTGATTTCTGGGTATGATCTATAAAATAAAGACTTATTTTTAAAAAATGTATTTTGTGAAACTTTGCCAGCTCTTTCAGGTAAGATTTTATCTTATTTAAAAAATCTTATCAAGTAGCTCTTCCTACACTTTTTTGAGGGCTATTTTGTAGATATCTTGTATAGAGTTTGATCTCTAATACTTATATCATAAAATTATATGTAACAATAATCTTGAAAGGCTTTAAAAATTATATGTAATTATCCTAGCAGAAGTGGTATTTGGTACATTAAAATGTATTAAAATGGATGGTCCAGGTACTCTGTGACCCAAAGGGAAGGATTTAGAGTAAAGAACTTAGCCCTGGATTCTTGACAACCAAGAACAATCAAATCAAGGACAGTGGCTGGTGTCTACTAGATGGAGAATAGACAACTCATAAGTTACATCCCAGACTAAGGTAACCTCAAACCCTTATTTCAGTGTCCGATTGGAGTTCTGTCCTGGAGCAGCTGCTTGCTTTTAAGGGACCTGGGCAGCCGGCAGCTTCTCAGAACTGTGTGGGCAGAATTTTGCAAGTCAAAGAACACTTCTCTCATTCTCTGAAGGAGTGTGTACTCTGGCTTTGTGAGGTCTAGCCTGGGATGTCCACGCTTCTCTATTGCCCTTCTGTGCTCCTGTTGGGGCTGGATGCTCCATCAGTTCCTCTACACTGTATGAGAATCACCTACCTCTGATTCATACCATCACTGGCAAAAGACTCCTCAGACCAGAAGTCAGGGCAGGAAACTTTAGCCTGGAAGAGCTGGAGCTGTTTCTTCTCCAAGGGCTTTCATTTGGAAGCCACAACAGAGCTGCAAGTCTATAGAGGGCCTCAAATATGACCAGGATTCTTAGTTTGGCCAATATTCACTTATGTGCTCCCTGCACCCCTTACCACCCTTTGGAATATGCTTCCCTTCCTCAACTGAGTTAGCAGAGCCCTCATTAAGCTACCCTCATACAGTGGTTCTCAAACTTTGCTCCACTCCAACTTGCCAGCTGGGCTAAGATATTCACAAAAATCATAGCTACTGCTATAGCAGTCACTTTTCATGAGAGACAGAGACACCAGTAATCAGGAGCTTAAAATCCCCTAAAAGAAAGCTGCCGGTCACCTTTCTCCTGCTCACTTCTCCTAATTCCTAACCCTTGTCCACAGAGGTTGGCCATCAGTTGCCTCACTGCCAAACAGAAAATTTCCCATTACTATCCTGGGCCTCACACCTCCTGAAACAGAAGCAACCACTGTTTACTTAGTACAAATTACACAGAAGGCTCTTAACTTAAGATATCTCATTTTGTTATCATAATTATTCCAGAGTGTCAGAAATTGCTGCTCCCATCCTATAGAAAGACTGGAGAACTTAAATGCCTAAGGTTACTCAGCTAATAAAGATCAGAGCTTTGCTCTCAAACACATACTTCTAGCCTCTCTACTCCCCTGCCTCTAATAAGGACCTCCCCAACAGGATTCTAACGAATTTAGTGGAGCCAAAATCACATGCATCATATTTAGCTCTATGCAAATAAGACACAAATTAAATCAGGAAAGCCATCCCTAGGTGATGGAATGGAGATGTGGATGCTCATGTGTACACATTCATATAAATTAATATTAAAGTCATCCTAATAGTAAATCCAACTCTTCTTAACATTATTTCCACTATAGCAGACAATCCGGTTTTTAGCAGATTGCCCTGGCTTCTCACTGTGGGGTGTCTGGTCATCTGCCAGTGTCCGTCATCCATTAAATTGACACAGTGACCATGTGTTGTTTCTCCTAGTTGATCCATGGATCAGGACAGTGTCTCAGTCCTACATTTCCAATCTTCTCACACTAGAGATTTCTCACTTCTCCATCCAGAATTAGCTTATTTTCTTTCTATCTTGAATTGAATTCATTTTGCATGAGTTCACATCTTAGGTCTCACTGTATGAAACTTCAGAGTCTAAACACCCGATTGCTCCAAACGTGTTCCTATTCAGCTCCTGCTGAACAAGGACATATGGCATGTGCCCTCTCTCCCCAGAGGTATCATGAACATTCTTTTAGTATTTTCCACAGATCCAGAAAATAAGAGCTGGTTAAGAATGTTGTGAATGCACACATTGCTCATGGGTACATTTTTTATCATATTTTGAGGGATGAATATATTCACAAGGGCAAGTATGTGCCTCCTATGTTAATAATATGTTATCACAGGCAAAGTTTTTCTGCCAGCATGGACACAATAACAGGTTCACATGGGTCTTCCCTTCTGTGGTCCTCTGCCAGCACATTATCTACTATTATGCCGCTGGGTCCACTGAGATTTCTACCAGTGCCCTGGGAGAAATCTCAATTTTTCAAGTGCCCTCAGGGGCTCCTAAAACCTGATAAGAGAAAGTGATGGACAGTATCTTCAGCTTATAAAGCTGCATTGTAGAGTGTTTTGAGTCCACCAGGAGTCACAGAACTGCAAACCTCACATGAGAGGTCAGAGCACCAGCAGAGGGCTTGGGAGGAGGTGACTTTTACCTCCAACTGTATAAAAATCCTAGACATTAGTGCTTCCCTCTCTCTACCCATAAGCCTGAAAAATTGCCAAATAAAATTGCTGGCTACAGAGATAAATGTAAGCAGGCTTTAACCCACCAGAACAAGCTGAGACTCAAGGCTTACCTGAAGAGAAAAATCTCCCAAATTCTCACAAACTGTGCCCCTAGAGTTTGGAGGCATCTCCTAAGAGCTGGGACTGGAAAATGAGGGAGGTGAAAATGTTTAGAAATCCTTAAGCCAGCTACTGGTTGCTCTTCCTTCTATCTTGCCTGAGGATGCTATGGCCCCTGAAAGCCATAAGGCCCTTGCTTAAATATGAAAGAAAATTCTACTCAGCGATGTTTGATGAGACCCTCTGGGAAGCCTCAGTGTTCTCTGTTGGGGGCTTGGTCTTCTATTGCTTTACTAACTCAGACGACAAGTGTGGAGCTCCCAGGAATTCAGGCCATGCTAGGCATTTCTGAGGCCACAGAGAGAGTCACAGCACAGCTCATGCAGTTAAAATCTTGCCGCAGGCAAGGGAGTGCTGTGAGATTCAGTAAATGTGATGAAGATGAACGTTTGGGCAGCTGTGACTCCCCTGCTACAAAATCTTTTTTAAAACTTTCAGTACATAGCAAACAAAGGGAAAACACCTTAGTCCAGGGCACCCCAATCTTTCACGGCCATTCTCCTTTCCATAAACACTCTAGTACATTCCCGGGGTGGGGTGTAGTGAAGACAATTGGCCCGGGTTCAGAATTGCTAAGTTAAACAAGACAGCTTTCCCCAAAATATTTTTTGTTTGTTTGTTAGCTTGTTCGTTTTGTCTTGTGGTGCTGAGAATTGAACTCAAGGCCTAGACGAGTGCTTTACCACTTCAGTTATGCCCTTAGTCCTTTTGCTTTTAGTTTTGTTTTTCAGGTAGTGTCTCGTGCTTTAGCCCAGGCCAGCTTGGACCTTTTGATCCTCCTACCTCTGCTTCCTAAGTACCTGAGATCACGGGTGTGCACCACCACACCCAGCTTTCCAAACCATTTTGAGTGTCCGACACATACAAAGTACGATTCAGTTGAGGTTTGCAAAATTTGAAAACTTCTGTCTAGTAATTCAGGTTCCAACCTTGGGTCACACTTAATGAGAACTGTGATTTCCTCTGGACAAGGAGGGAAACTGCGCTTTCTGCTGTTGCTGCTTTTGTTGTAGACTAGAGAGTTCCATAAAAGGTCAAGAACATAATTTCAGGAACAAACAAGCAAATGACCTGTATCTTCACCAGCTAGCCAGGTTTCTAAAATTCTTTTCCATACACCAAACTGTAGACTCCTGAGGATATGCAGCAGGTCTTCCTCTCTGAATCCACTGGAGACCCAGTTTGTCACTGCTTGCTGAATAATTACACAACATAACAGTCCTCAGACCTCTGGGTGGAGGGGGAAGCAAAGACATTAGTTAAGGTTTTATTTCTTGCCAAGTGTTTTCACTTAATGAGAGCACTTACATTTTTATTCTGTGGTTTGCGTTTAGTCCTAACACCCATCTTCAGGCTCATTTGTGGACTAGCTACTTTCCTAAAAACGTGTACTTCTAGTTACACGTTTAAAATCCTACTTAAGGATTTTATAACATTTCTAGTAATTAAGGATTTTATAACATAACTTTATAGTTCTGCCTTCAAGGATTCAAGAAGACAAGTTCCAGTATTAATTTTGGTGGTCCTCTTTGGGGCTCATTGTTCAATATAAAATATGAGTAAATTTAATGGAATGTTTGGTTATATTATGAAGGGTATATAGGAAAGCCACGGGGTCCTCTTCCTAGTAAACCCAGGGGCCACCCAGCCCAGACTTGCTCTCATCTTCTTCTCAGCTATGGGCTCAGGGCAGAGTCTGCTAGTGCGGCCTCTGGGGAGCCAAGTCACTTACTTCTTCATTGGGAATCCAGCTCTAATCTGTCTGTCTATAGAGGGTTCAGCCTTCTAGGATCCCACCACAGCCCTTGGTCTGGAGAACATCAGCATTACTCCTTGAAAGGAAGCCAGGATCAAATGGCAAACATGAGAATCACAAAGCTAAGAAACCCTCTTCTCATCAGCATAGCAGTCCATCCAGCCATCCACTCTGTGGAGGTGGTGGGAGGAAAAGACAACTTTGACTTTTGACCCTTGCAAAGCTCCATTCTCACTCTCTTTCCCTGCCTGGGATTAATGGTAGGGATGGAAGCTGTCAGTCCAAGTCTAGGTCCCTTACCATCAAATGAAACATTCTAAACCACAATGGAAATTGTTCTCTGTTTAGAGCAGTCACAGGTTTGCCTAATCATAACTTTTAGTGCTTGATAAAAAACATAATCCAGAAACCCTTCAGTTTTTATTTTTCCTCTTAACTAGGTATTTTCAAACTTTCAAAGTTTTCACAAGCCTCTTAAGAAGCTCCTGAAAAGGGACCTGTGATCTTACAATCTAGGGTTTCTCCAATGTAAGGAACTCCTCCAAACAAAGGTCATTTATGTTTCTGGCACATTTTTCACTTCTAATATTAACTCTTCTGTTTCACTTCTTACTGAAGTGTTTCTCCCCCTCCTCCATCTGGCCACCTGGCAGATGGTCTGGGGTTTATGTGGGAACATCCAACACCTAAGCCCTGCACTTACGAGAGGCTCTGCTCCTCCTTCCTCCCTCATGGTTTTCCAACCAGCCATGGCAGATTTTGCTGAAAATCAACAAGGCAGTGTGGGAAGGGCAAGGACATCCTTGGGCATCTGAGTCCACATCCTTACAGAGTTGAGGCAGGTGGATTCCCCTGAACATCCACATCTCCATGGGAGAGCTACTCTGAGCAAAGGGTTTTACTTCCTTCCACCTTAACCCCCAAGCCTTCCAGTGGAGAAAGAGGCTTCAAAGTCTTCAGATTATTCTGCTTTTATTCCTCAGATTTAATCATAATAATTTCATATTTATTGTTTTCTGTTAGCTAGCACCATGCAGGGGTCTGCAAGTGGAGTGAGAGGAACATTTTCAGAAGACACAAAAAGTTTCTAAAGTAACTTTGAAACACATTTTTAAATATCTGGCCTCTTACTTTGTCTGTAAGCAAGTCACTTTCTTGCTCTAATCATGTATGTGGGAACTCCCATTTAATTCCCCATACTGAAAAATTTAAAACCCAATTTTACAATTTTCTCTCTCTCTCTCTCTCTCTCTCTCTGTGTGTGTGTGTGTGTGTGTGTGTGTGTGTGTGTATGTGTGTTGTACTGCAGTTTGAACTCAGGGCTTCTCACTTGAGCCTCACTTCCAGCCCTTTTAGCTCTAGTTAATTGGGAGATATGTCTCGTTTTTTGCCCAGGCTGGCATGGACCATGAGTCTCCTATTTTACACTTCCCTCCATAACTGGATGACAGTCACGTACCACCATGCCCAGTTTTTTCCACTGAGGTGGAGTCTCCACAAACTCCTGACCTCAGAGTTTCATATAGCTGGAATGACAGGCGTACACAACACCACACTCAGCTGTTGGTTCAGATGGAGTGTCATGAACTTTGGTCTTGACCACAATCCTTCCACTCTCAGCCTCCCAAGTAGCTAGGATTACAGGCATGAGCCACTGGTACCCAGCTTACAATTTTGTTCTTAATCGACCTCACTCCCATTGCATCCATTTGGATCCATATAATTGGCTTCCATCTGTAGGTACAAAGCTAGGTTCTCTTGCTAAAATCATAGCTCAGTGCTATGAATTAGTGCTTTATTACAGTGATAAAGTATGCATTGTGTCCAATGACAGTAGCCATGGCCTTACCTTTGTCACTATGCTATCTTGGAAATGTTAGCTCACTTTAGAAAGCTATTTAAAGTTTAACATTGAAGAATTTAACATGGCTAAACTCCCTTCCACAGTCACCACAGAGAGGGACAGTGTTCCTTGGGCTATATGGAACTCTAGGAACTGAAAGTCCTGAATATAATCCTGCCATGTGGCTTTGGAAAAGCGAGTCGCCTCCATTTTCTGTCTACAAAATGAGACAGCCATAAAAGGCTAAGCAGGTCCCAGGAAACTCTGGAAATTGTTTTATCCTGTTCTGTCCATCTGGGTTTCCCAACAGAACTCAAACACAGGGTCTTACAACAAACCAAGGCCTAAACAGTGTACACTGCTTCTTCTTGAAAGTCTTTAGTGTGACCTTGAAAACCATTCAGAAAACTGTCACAGCCACTCTGGTGGAGCAAGAACCTCAAGAGAGATACTCTGGGCTTGGTGGTACACTCGTGTAATGTCAGCACTTGGGTAGCTTGAGCAGAAGGATTGCAAGATTGAAGCTAGCCAGGGCTACATAGCAAGACCTTGTCTCAGGAGAAACAAGAGACTGGCAAGAAGGAGAGCAGGAACTCACATCTGCTGTATAATTGCTATGTCACTTCTGAGAGAAGGAGAGGGCAATTTAGCAGGAGGAGTTAGGTATGGCATACTGATGGAGGTGCAGTAGCAATGGTAGTATTTTTAATACAAGTGTGTAACAAGCAGTTTAAGGTCAATATATGTTAAGCGTATTTGCTGTCTTTGCATTTGGTCAACCCATAACCATTTATACACTTCCTTATAAAGAAAGGAAAGGCGATTCTTTCACAAACCATGTACACCTGGATGCAAGATCTATGGAGTAAGAAATTAATTCTTAATAAAATGACTCAGTAGATCTAAAATTAAGTTTTACTTAAGAAAAACTTTCTCTTTGCAGGTCAACTGCTAGGGAGTATGCTCTGAAAATTATCAAGAAAAGTAAATGTCGAGGCAAAGTATGTATAAAGTTTTTTCTTATGAAACATAGTGTTCTGAGTGTAGAAAGAAGCAAAGACAAACTCCTAAATAAATATAAGTTTAACTTTAGAGTTACATTTTGGTAGGACAGAATGTTATACACTTATTTAGAATATGTTTTATAAATATTCTTGGAATATAAGTTAGTTGCAATGGTTGGGTATAATTTCTGATCCTTGTCTTAATTTGTTTTATTTTCTTCCCTTTTGTGATCTAAGTTTCATTCCATAATTTCATATTACATTATAGTTGTCATGATAGGTCTTGAGTTTGATCATTTTAGGACCTTCAACATCTTCTGGCAATTCTAGATTTCAGAAATTTTAGCAAAAATCCATCTGTCTTGATTCTCAAATAGTATAATTGCACTCTTGAGTTAGCTCCTTGTATGTTTTGTGTATGTTGATTAAGATGGTTTTCCCTTCGACAGGAGCACATGATCCAGAATGAGGTGTCTATTTTAAGAAGAGTGAAGCATCCCAATATTGTGCTTCTGATTGAAGAGATGGATGTGCCAACCGAACTATACCTTGTCATGGAATTAGTAAAGGTGAGTATCTTGGAAACAAAACAAAGTTCTATATAAGGCACCATGTTTTCTTGTATGATAGAGCTCTGTCCTTTATTTCCTCTCATCAGTGGTCAGCCTCTTCTTTCTGTGCACTGGCACAGAGATATAGAATAGTAATGAGGTGCTGGTGTGTGGCTCAGTGGTACAGCACTTGCTTAGCATGTACAAAGCCCTGGGTTCCATCTTGGGGCATTGGGAGAACTATTAATGACAGAATTGTATTGGAAGAGTAGAAGTCCCAGCCTTGGCCCAAATAGCACCATGACCTTGGATATACTTCTCTATGCCTCAGTTCCCTCATATGTAAAGTGAGAATAATAACAGTACCTAATTCATAGTGTTATCATAATGTATCACAGAGGGATTGGTTCCACCAGTTTTTGTGACACAGAGAGCCGTATATACAAGTATGATTTTTGTTGTTATTATTGTAGCAGAATAGTCACCTTTTCTTGAACTACATCCAAAGGTGTCAATGATTTTGCAAAAAATGAGCTTTAAACTTTGAGTCATCAACATAATAAAAGAATGGCACAGTACTAATAAAAATGTAGTCTACTCCTTTTCAGTGAATATTGTAATCTCATCCCACTCCAGGAAATTACATTTTTATTCTATGAAAGCATTGAGTATAGGAATAGTCAAGTATCAAACTGGCTGTGCAGGTGAAAAGTATTTGATCTATTCTCTCTACTTCTATACATTTCAAATTTTCAGTAATTAGAAGTTGGAATGCTTAGTTTTTGTGAAGTTTTCTTTTCTCAAGGTTTTTCTAATATGCTAACATAACTGAGAGCTTACATGATTTCTATCTTAGTTATAAAGTGTTGTAAATCACTTGCACCACCTTCTGCATTAACTGTGCCAGTAGCCAGAGCTCTGGGTTCCAAGAACTGCATTTAAACCTCATACTCAAGCTGTGACTGTGCACTTTTGTTTTTTGTAAGATTTAAAACAAGTATGACATTTAATAAACCAACTTGTTACTACATAGAAAAATATTCAACCTGTTACTGTCTAGAACTGTGTTCATTCTTTCTAAGGAAAGTGTTTGTTTTCATTCAGCCTGTATTTTTTTCTTCTTCAAGTTACTTGTTTCTTTCAGACTTGTTTATAGTAACAGAAGATTATGGTCATATCTGAGAATTATAAAAACAATATTTTTTAGATAAAAATGTTAAACTGTTGTTCCAACAAAGAAAGGTCAATTTTATATATTCAGATTGGTACTTTATTATTAAATTATCTTTTAACCAGGCTTGTAAGTTATACTTCTCTAGCATCAAGGGTATCTTTACCATGACATTATTTTTTAGACCAACAGCTTGGAGCCATTCATATTGCTCCTCTGTGTGATACTAAAAATTGATTAACTCCCTGTTTTTATTGATCAGCTCCCTGTTGTCGACTGACTATTGGGGAGCTGAAACTAAGTCAAATTTGGATTAGAAATAGGAGAGACAACAGCTCACATGTTGAGAACATGTTTTGTGGGAGAGTTTACTCTGATTTTCAGTCTTTATTGTACTTTGTGAATTCTGTCTATATGACCAAAGCATCCTAACAGCGAGAGAGGGTCCTATAGATCAGAATTGGTACTCTTCATTTGGGTCACTAGATCGTACCTTTAGTCTGACCCAGGTCTGCCTTGAGGCCAGGCCTAGAAGCTTCCTAGAAAATGGAGGTCAACCCCAGTCTGGACTTGAAAGTCTCCAAAAGATGCCCCTGAGAATTCTGGGTGGGGCTGTTCTTCTCAAACCCTAAGGATCCAGTGGTATGCCAAGGACTGCCTGAAGCTATAGAACAAGTAAGGCCTTGGGGAAATAGTGAAGTAGCAATTACAAGGGGAATAGCATACTTATTAGGAACAGGTCTTTAGACTTCTGCCTCTGAAGTGATGAACATACAAACTGCTCATGTGTTTAGAGAAGGACAGGTCTTGTGGAGGAGGTCATCTGAGATCCATAGGAGTTAGACTAGCAAAGGGGCCTGGAGGGACAATCCAGGAAGATGGCCCTGGAGGACAGGCCTGGGGCTCAGTGATCTTGCCTGTCCAAGGAAGAAATACACTACCTGGAGCATACAGAGAAGAAATTAAGTGAGTTGGAATAAAGATTGGAGGCAGAGCGCAGACAGCCAGGCTGTGGGAAAGGAGTGATGATGTCCTGAAGACAGAAAACAGGGCAACAGTGTGGGAGAAGGTAGCCATCAGTGAGGGGATGCTTTGGATAATCAGGCTGTGAAGGATGCAGAGCAGGAAGAGAGTGGGGTGAGGCCAAAGAACAACAATCCCAGGACTAGGTGATAAGGTCCTTCATCTGACCAATTACATGAGATGGTCCCAAAGGATGTGTTTGAGAAATACTTCTCAAAGAAAAGAGAAGTAGGATTAATTGACTGCTTCATTGAGGATGAAGAACAAAAGAGTGGCAAGATGTCTGGAGCCTAGATAACCAGGATAGTCATGGATTCTTTGAAGGACCCAGTATGTAGCCACACAGGTCCTAATGCTTAACTTCTGGGCCATACAGAGAATATCCCGGGGTACATAGAGACAACCTGCAAACCTGTGTGCAGGTGTGGGGTTTGCAAATAGCAGGAAGTTGAGAGAGGAGGGAGGGGGGCAGGACTAGTTTGAGAGCTGCTGTAGCTTACCTGGAAGTGAGAGACATTGCCAGAGCAGAGACGGTAGAGAAAAACAGAGATGTCAGGCCAGATAGTGAGATCTGAAAATCTACCTACAAAGTCTGTTTTCTGCTTTTTCTACTTCAAAAGGAAAAATCAAGTCCCTTACCACATTAAGGAAGAGATGAACACAAGTACTGGGATGGGCCCTTTGGTGCATTGTATGCAATGACGAATCTTAGTAAATCAAACCCAAATTCTCTGAAAGAATTTCAGACAAATGCAACTTAAACTGGAGCCTAAAAATCACACAGTTTAGCCAAGTAGCAATAAATTAGCAAGGAACAAGGGAAACACAAGTTCAGATGAATAATAGTCCTAGAAAACTTTCTCTCCCTCCCTTCCTCTCTCATCTTTGGAATATCTGCCTCTGGTCCCTTTTTTCCTTTCCTTACAAAAAAGCACCTTATTGAAAAAGGAAACACTACGCCCACTCCAACAGAGCTAAATCTAGAGAATCAAGGTGTGTGTGTTAATTTCAAAGGCAGCAGAACATTTTGTTAAGGGTACAATCTGCAGTATTGCCTGTTTCTCATTGGAGGAGGTTTAGGATTATAAATTTGCACTTTGGTTGACAGGTGGTGGTGTAAGGCAAATAGCACATGCCACCAGGGTACCCACGTGTCAGGAGGCTTCTACCCTGGGTACCCAGCTCCATCCCCTCATCCCGTGCATGGGGCATGGGACAGGGTAGGGAGGTGGCCACTGCAGTAGAATCCTCACCCTGCTCCTTTCCTCACTGTCAGTCTTTCATGGTGAAGAGAAAAACCATCCAGTCTGGACCTTGAGAGGCAGTGGCAAGGAAAAGCCTTCAGGAACCCAAAGATCCTCGCCCATTCCTCATTTCCTTTATGGTTTGACAGTCCACTCTGTGGGCAGCCCCATGGCCCATCTGTTAACATGCTGCTCAGCCTGCTGTTTCCTTCGCAGGGCGGAGACCTTTTTGATGCCATTACTTCCACTAACAAATACACGGAGCGAGATGCCAGTGGGATGCTGTACAACCTGGCCAGCGCCATCAAATACCTGCATAGCCTGAACATCGTCCACCGCGACATCAAGCCAGAGAACCTGCTGGTAAGAGGAAAGCCAAAGTCAGGCATCCCAAGATCCACACTCTCATGAATGAATATACATGCCCCTCCATTCCCTTTTTTTTCTCTTTTTTTAAAAATTTTGCTTTAAAGTTTCATTTCCAGCTAGCCTCTACCTCATGGGAAACTTAGGCTTTTAAGTTGATCTATTATAGTAAATGTGCCATTGAGAGCTCCTGACTTATTAGCAAATAAATAGCAGGCACAAGAGTGAGAATAAGGCTTAGAAAATCTATGGCCATAGCTTAGCTAACATCTTGGGCTGGAACCAGGTAGTGACCAGGCACACTTACATGCATATTAATCATCTGTTTATCTACAGCACTTTCGCGTTAAAACCTTTTTGCCTGGGGAAAAAAAAGAAACCCCTTTTAGACTTTGTTTTAGTCTGCTAGCTTTATATCATAAGGATATTATCTAAAACCTAAGAGAAATAAATCATAAGGGTGCTTTAAAGACGCTAACCACTCAGCATAAAAAGAATCATGAAGACTGATTTAAAAAAAAAAACAGATCTCTTTTCCTCCTTTGCAAATATTTAGTTCGCTTTTCATGAATTCTACATGTCTAGGGAAACACTGAGCATTCCCCACACCAGCAAAAGAGGGTCCTTTTCTAGTCCAGTTACTTAGGGGACAGTAGAGGAAGAAGCAAGAGGGCAGAGACTAAATGGGAGGAACTGTCACTGGGAAATACGGGAGTAGCGTAAATTTTACTGTCTCTTCAGGCTGAAAAATATGTATCCCCACAAAGATGCTAGCTTTTTTTCACTTTCATGATTCGTCTCTGAGCCTCATATATAACATGTGACTCCTGTTAGTTTGCCCATCTCTTCAGAAACCTGGGAATTGAGGATCCTCTTTCTAAAGCAGTGTTTCTCCAAGGGTGGTCCAAATGCTTCCTAGAATTATTCCCAGATGCCTGTTAAAAATGCAAATTTCTGGGCCTCCATGCAGCTCTGCCCAGTCAGAAATTGGTGTCTGGTGACAGGGTACAGAAATCCACATTGCGACCAGCTCCCCCAGGTGATCTGAATGCACATTCGAGTTTAAAAGCAGATGAACAGCTCAACTCCCACTACACAAATAAAGGCTAATAAGATCTAGAGAACCGCCTATGCATTCAGCCTTGTGCTCAGAACTTTACAGTCATCATCTTGTTTATTCTGCAGACCAACTTTAGGAAGCAAATTCTTTTAATGTCCCATTTCACAGGTAGGGAAGTTCAATGACTGCTCATAAGTAGAAAAGTTAAGATCTCAACCTAGTTCTGACCTACTCCAAAGCCACTAGGTTACAGTCCATTATGAGTTAGGGGGAGGTTAATTGAGTGCTCTCTATGGACCCTGTCCTGTGCCAGGAAACTAGACACATACCTTCAAGAAGAAAAGACAGGCATTCAAGAAATACATATGCACATAGTTTGTTGCAATTATGTTGGTAATCTTGTAGTTACTAGTCAATGAAGGCAGCTGAGGTCAAATGGCAGCACTCTGACTTAATTGGACCTCAAATTCCCCATCTCAGCAGTAGCCTAAACATTCTCTTTACGCATAGTTGCCTCAGTGAACAGCAGCAATTTTCTCTCGTCTACATTCATTATTCCTGCATCCTGAATTATTTAGGACTGTCTCGTGAGAACAGACTTACAAGTGGGCCTTTGTTTAATAACTTCTCAAAGCTCCAAAACTTGGAAATTAAAGTTTTATTTCCTTTCATTTTTTTCCTTTGCAGTTCAGTTTTGTGCACCCTCTGTTTACTTACTCCTTAACCAGACCATTATCTATTTCTGTAAATGCCTTAAATAATTATATAGCAGCATGCTTTTACATTTTAGGACAATTTTTTACAATTTTTAGGACAGTTTTTAAGTACTGTGCTCACTGGAACATATTTATTTTAAATTAACCAAAAAAACAAAAACAAAAACCCAAAGTCACTCCTCCCCTTTTCCTTCCTTTTCTAATTTAAGAATCTGAAATATATAGAGAAACAATTGCAGTTATTCATCATATAAGTTTAAAATATCTATGAAAAACAGAGATTCCATTCTCCATTCGAGTGGTTTCTCACAATAAGGGACAGGGTTTAGTGAATTTTGCATTATTACATTATTGCAGGAAAAACGGATGAATAGAATACAGTTAGCAAAATTAGGATGATGTCATTAGTTGCACATGGGATATCCATTAATTTCAAATTCTGTTGAAGTTTCTGTGGCTATATGAAAAAAAAGCATCATGGGAAGTACACCTTCACATATTCAAAATTTACAATCAATGAACAAAAGTTCAAAACCAAGTGTTTCACTTTTCCACTGGCTGCTGTCATGATGAAGTTGCTTAATTCCTTGGGGCTTCCTTTAAAGGAGATTTTATGAAAACTAAGAGATACATAACAACCAAGTCCCTTTCCTTAATTTTTCCTTTATTGTAACAAAGGGAAAAATTAGTGTCCAGAATAACATTGTTTATAATAAAAGCCATTTTTCATCTTTCACTGATACCTATTTTTAAATGTTTACTATTCACTCTTACATGGATTTGACACTTCATTACAAATGTAAAGCTACTGTCTATTTTTGAAAAATGCTATGGTTAAGTTAATGTAAAACTTTTGAATCCCTTTGCTTACTATAGGGAAACGTACCAAAAAAGTAAAAAGACCTCACTACATATTTTGTTTACTGTTGCATTAAGAGACTCCAAAAAGCCTTCTGAATTTTTTAATGGCTAACAAGAGTTCTGCTAGTTAAGTGTTTAATTAATACAATAGCACAGTGATTTTTAAAAAATGTCTAATTCAGTTATGGATTTCATTTCATAAAGTATAATTGGGTATACAGAACTTTTAATATCTTTTACTTTTAATTCTTATAGCACAATATTAAAATGTAGTTTAGCTTCAGAGATCAATATTGGTCATATGAATGATATTTCACTCTAAGTGTTTGGGCAGGTCAAAGTATTTTAATGGGAAAATATGATCTGTTTTACAGTGACATTTCCAGGTACATTGTAGGTGAAAACTTTGAACTGACCCAATAAAAATACCTTATTATTATTGTCTCATGACTAACAGTTTTCCTTCAAGTTAATCATATCAATAATTTTATGTGGTTCTTTTTGCTTTATTTATTATCAAACCTGGTGCGTAGTGATCATATGAGTGAATGACAGAATGAATGAGACAGGCATTCTCTGTTCTCACAGAACAGAGGACAGAGCTGTTCTGAGGAGCCTAAGACATATAACAAAATTTTACCATCAATTTATTCATAATGTAACCTAGTGAGATATAAGACTAAGCATCTCTTCCCTTCATTTTCTGACTGAGGTTTACGCAGAATCAGATCTATAGGGTTTATGACAAATATGTTTTCTCTAGATGTTTTAAATATCTTGTCTAAAGCCAGCAGGAAATTTTCATTTTTAAGAAATTAATTTTGACATAAATGCTGACATCTTTTTTTCTCTCATTTTTTAGTGTACATTAATTGTACAAAGGAATTTCATTGTGATATTTCCATACATGCATAAAAATACTTAATGTACTTTGATCACATTACTTTTTCTTATCACTCCCCCTTTGTTTTTTTTTTTTACAGTTTAAAGGGTTTTATTATTCTATTTTCATACATGCATATAGAGTACTTCAGTCTTTTAAAAACAAAAGCAGATTCAAAGCCCGAAGTTTTCATGAGTAACCACTAGATGGCAAAAATCCATTGTCAGCAAAAATCATCAATGGCACTTTGTGTTTCATCCTGGGAACTGGGCAGGTCTTTTAAAAATGTACACAGAGATATCATCCACTTAGGAAATTTAGTCTTTACTGGCAAAAGTATACTTACATCACTATTTTCATTGCATTCTAAAAGTGAACACCATCATTGTCTTCAAGTATAAAAGTCAATGTGTAAAACCTTTTTCCTTCTAAATTGTCCACCAGAAAAAGCAGCTTTTCAGAGAATAATCTACCTCTTTTAATCAGAAATTTTCTTTTAGAAACTCTTTGCCCAAGCATTTGTGCCTGCTCAGAGCTACTCACAAAGTGACACATGCAGCTCACGTCCTCATTTCATTCAGTGGATAATACCAAGATTTACTCTTCCTATTCACTCAAGGGACGATCTCAGTTTGGGTTCTAACTCTTCTTCATTTCAATTCCAGAAACACCAAACTCACAAGATAATGGATTTCATTTTGCCTTAAGCCCAAGACAAATCCATTTTGTTGTAGGATCACTAACATTGGTAGACAAAGTGAGTATTGCAGGTAGAGAACAGTCTAGAGGTCATGAACAAAAACCTACCCCTCTAAACTCATCCCTCCAGATCCACAGAAGACCGGTTCCAGGATTCTCTGTGGAGATACCCAAATCTGCAATGCTTGAGTACTTTGTATAAAATGAAATTTTTGGGTGTAACCTCCACCCATACTCCTCTCGTGTACTTTAAAGCTCCTCCAGATGACCTACAGTATCTAATACAGTGTAAATGCTCAGTAAACAGTGGTTACACTGCAGTGTTTAGGGAATCGAGACAATAAAAAAGAATGTCTGTACATGTTCAGTGCAGATGCAGTTTTCTTTCTAGAATTTTCTACTTGCATGTCCATAACCGCAAGGCCATCTGTACTGTGAACCACCAGAGGGTGCTGATGAGTAGGTTGGGAATTACCCAAAGAAAGAGATCCAGTGATCTTTCATGGGTCTGTCACTAACCCTGTCATCATCACTGCCTATGACTTGAAGATCTATTGCACCAAGTGACAAATTTGAGATCCAACCTGATCTTTGGCGCTATAAAGGTCCAAAATCAGTAAGGTGAAATTTAACAAGAGATAAACATAAATCCCTATGGAACAAGTGGTGTGGGCATAGTAGTTTTATTGATGATTACAAAAAAAGAGTGATAGGAAACCTTGACCTGACTGCAGGGCAAAAGGATATGAGTTGACTCTAAGTCTCAACGTGATCAGTA